CCCCTGTTATCCTGTTATCTATCTGTCTTCAGTTACCAGATGTAGCTCGGGAAACAGCTCATCTAATGGAGCTGCGTAAACACGAATACGATGTCGAAACCCACATCAAGACTGTCTGCAGTGTCTATTTCTAATGGACACACACTGATGTTTCATTTTGTCAAAGTATAATGAATTGCAAATGGTCCGCCTCGTGCTCTGCCAACGTCATAAGGCATGGCTTGTATTTTCAATCAAAATAGCTGTTCAGAAATCGTTGGTTTAAACCGAAGGATTCCATCCAAAACTATCCGGATTCTCAGACCTTGTAGACTCACCCTATCGCTTTCACAGATCTGACGTACTATTGCACATCAGATGTGCAGTATAAGTAAAAATGGTCCAGTCAATCGACGCAGGTAGGGCAGTTTTGTCGTCATCTGTCGACTAAAACGCAGTGCCTAAATTTTGCTTTCTCTCTTCACTCTGGCCGGACTAGAGACTTAGCTTCTTCGACTTTGAATCAGTTCCCTTACACTCCGTTACAACATCATAGGATGTTTAATTGAAACGGTTTTGAAGGCATCCGTTTGTCTAGCAATCAGACTGGAAGAGAATCGTTTGAAAAAGTCTGCTTTAGCGGTTGCTCCTCAAAGACACCCGCAACCTGACGTTGTTGTATTAGATTTGTCAACTTGTCTATAAAGATGAGACTTATTTATGCGCGTGAGACCGGACCGACTTTAAGCCAGCTGCATCTTGTCCAGGACTATTAAGCGGTTACCCCAAGAAAGAACATTTCTATGTGCCAGATGCCCGGTACAGCACAGAAATCAACACAACGAAGAGACCGATTACTAGGGAAGGAAGAATACCTGCTTAGGCACTGACTAATAGAACACAGGTGACAAAACAGAGCGGTTGGCCACGCGGTTGATACACAAGAACATTATGATTATTCTTGAAACGACCACCTACCCGGAAGATTGCGGAACACCATTCAGCAGCCAAAAACTGGTCTCCCCTTTATGGGATCCAATAGATAGGCGTACAATGTGATGTTCAACTAAAGCATAAGGCTGACAGAAAAATGCAGATGAATAACTCAAACACGAATCCACACCACCGAGCAGAATCAAAGTGACAGTTAGTTTACACGTTCCACAGGTGTGTTTCTTAGGACTAGCGTGCAAAATCATTTTGTACTGGACACTCTTGCTTCGGTTGACTAGACCTGTCGCCCACAGTCTGCGATGGATATGGAGTGTGGACTACAGTATACAAAAAGTTTACACTGCACAGAACTGGATACTGTTTGCAGCCAAGTGGAGGCAGAATTCAACATAACTTCGAAACGAAATAAGTCGTCAGCCGCTAGATGGTAGGTAGTTCTACTGAATGCATACAACAGGTTTTAAGCAATCCAAGTCCAATCCAAGCAATCCCGTCCCGGTAACTTTCCTTGTTGTGACCCTATGTGATCAGTGGTCAGCAGTCTTCAGCGTTTCACGCGGGCAATTCACTGACACCCTTCGGCATAGAAACAAAACAGAAGAGACTGGGCATCCAGCCAACACCCAAACTCAGACGAATGTCTGGGTAGTTCGTTGACGCACAGAATTTAGCGATCGCTTGATACATTAGGAACTTACCGCCAAGGGCACACAGTAAATATATTCCGAACAAGCGAGTGGGTTCATGTGAGTGCAAAATTTACAACGGCTCCGCGCTATTTGAAGGTCGCTATCGGATATTGATCCTAGAGTTCCTCCGGGGAAACTGGCACTCGTCATAGATACAAATGAGCTCATTTGTACATTAACTTCGTTTTGGCGCTGCAAAACTGAAACCAGATAATTCTCTCGAGTATACTGGTCTCATTCATTTGGACTGTGAGTCAAACTGCATCTCCGAATTCTGTCCAATGATGAATTGGCACTAGGTGCGCAAATCTTTCGTGGTGTTGTGTATGCCCTATGGATAAGTTGCCTAAACAATAAAACACCCGGGGACGGCTAGAACACCGTATGCAGGTATATGGCGGCTGGCTCATTCGATATTCCCGGGACAATCGAAATGTGAATTGGCATTTTGTTTCCGTAGGCTGCAGCTAAACTAGCGTAAGTGACGTCCCTCGATACTCACAATAGGTAACTGAACGGGGGGTAGGTGATTCCAGTCAAAACCTGGCATTTCGAATGCTCCTGTCTAGAATTGGGCAGTATCTCAAACCTCCTGCTTTTCTGAGTGGCACATTACTACAAATGAATGATTACGTTTTATCCATTACTTTTTTGTTACACATGATCTCCCGCAGATTTGTTGCATTGCGTAAAAATTGTGGAGACGTCATCTTCACGTGGACACACGGGTCATCCCGGCTAGATCGATTAACGAAGGCTGTACTGAATGTCAACAGACGCTACTAACCTATATGCCTGGGGAGCTCTTCAACTGATGACTACAAAGTAAATTCGTCATCACAGACTCGCGTTGTGATGAGTTTTGTCACCCTTACACAGAGACACTGAAATTCGTTGACAAATTGCAGGTACAATGTATGACGACTAGACGGACCTTGGGGAACAACTGCAATTTATTTCGGAGCCGAAAAAGAGAATTGGGTGGCTTGTGGTGCAGTTCCAAGTCCATAAAGCGAGGATGAAACTGCAATTTTAGCTCACCACGAAAAGTCCTGAGGACATCAAGTGCATTAGTGTAGACAAAGACCGACGGCCATACATGTAGTATGTGATCAGTAATTGCGGAGGGGCGAAAAAGCAAAGCAGACGAGGCGTGATTTAGGGGAAAGTCTGAGGCATATTTACGCAACTGAATTTGTAGAATACCATTCAGACCGAGAGGTACTTAACGAGTGTAGTGGAAAATTACTTGGAGTTGCATGGCAGAATGGGACAGGGGAACTAATATAACTTGAATACAAAGCGGCTTGATATTGGCTTCAAAAGCACAGCGATGCCTGAAAGCTGGTCACATACGGTCGTACTTTTGCGGCTTGCACGAACTCATTAACCTTTGCGAAATTGGTTGAATGATTGACTGGCCTGGATGCTTTTTGCCTTTCCAATTCAAATTTTGCTAGTCAAATCAGATGACCATTCATATGGCATATACTCGGGTAATTAAGGAACAGGTGGACAAACGCAGCAGATGAGACGTGGTGGGCAAAAATTCTGAAGCACATTTACCAACCGAATTCTTAGAATACCATTGGGACCGGGAGGTGTTCAACGAGAGCAGTGCGGCTTGCATCATTAACCTTTGCGAAATTGGTTGAATGATTGACTGGCCTGGATGCTTTTTGCCTTTCCAATTCAAATTTTGCTAGTCAAATCAGATGACCATTCATATGGCATATACTCGGGTAATTAAGGAACAGGTGGACAAACGCAGCAGATGAGACGTGGTGGGCAAAAATTCTGAAGCACATTTACCAACCGAATTCTTAGAATACCATTGGGACCGGGAGGTGTTCAACGAGAGCAGTAATAAAACCATGGATTACTCCTTTCTCTAGAGTAGGTTGCGATAAGCACATTGACATAGGCTGCCATACAGGCCATTATCGGTATGGACGGAAAAGGAGTGACGTATTGGATTGATACAAGAGCGCAGGTATCGCTGAGACGGGGTGGGAAGGAATCTGAATGCAAACCGTGCGCGCAATTCGTGATAACAATGGGTGGATACGGACTGGAAATTGACGAACTGTCAATCCACTCCATGCGCCCAGGCGACAGATCCGTGCAGCACGGATTCCTCATCAGACTAGACGTGGAGCAGACAAACTTTGGAGTAGATTTTCTTAAAAGCGCAGATTCCCTGGTTAATTTGAAGTAGGCGGAAGCTGGTGACAACGTTAATCGCAGTCGAGCCTGAAGTTTAATCAAGCCCTGCCGTGAGCGAACAGCATTTCCTAAACCTCCGTGTTGTAACGTGCCGTAACTACGGTCCGCGGTCGAAGAATATTCTGAACTGCTCACGGGCGATGAAAATCCGTTTGGGATAGAATGTTAAGCGATCGTCTGGGCCCTGGATAAGTGTGGATTATACAGTGACTTCATGCCGAAAGCAATTATCAAATCCTGGGGTAGATCAAGACCACCAGAGATCCTCGTGGGAAGATCGCGCGCTTGGAGCTCCGGTTGCAAACGTACGACTTCACAATCCGACACGTGCCATGGGAGAGAACCGCCAGGCTGATTTACTGTCGAGACCAGAGGCTGAAGATGAGGCCCCTAGGATCATGATTGGTGCCAAAACCTTGTTGTCGGACTGGTTGGGGCAACTTCAACGGAAGGATCCTATGTAAAGAAAAGTTGCAGCCGCCTCGTGGGTTGGAATCAGCATCGACAACGGAGAGGAAAACAAGGGATTAGAAAAGTTCCAGAGTCATTTCGATCGCCTGAGTCTCGATGAAGCTGGCTTCACCTCTTGGAAAGCCACTTACTCTGATTTTGCGTTGCCGTCATCATCACGCGCCTTAGGACGGACCTGTAGTTGAGGGTTACGAGAGGGCACACACTAGATGCATCAAGACGTACCACATGCACCGGCAGAGGGCCTACTGGCTCGGGATGAGAAGTGAGGTGATGCGTTATGTGGTGTCCTGTAAGCGGTACCAACTGACTGAGGAGGATACTACAGGAGCAACGCATTCCAAGGATTCTACTCCTACCCCAGAAATCGGCGAGTTTTGTTCCTTCGAGGTCATGAGCATATTTCCGTTGACGACCAGCGGAAATTAACAACATGGCGAGAGAGCACCTTCCGTATTGAGGTCTAGGTGGCAGTGTGTCAAATCAACAAGCGATAACAGCCCGCGTTGTAGTATTGCATCACATCATGACCAACAATGGGAGGACGAAAATGATCTCAAATGATGACAGGCTTTGCTTTGGGAACGAAGAGTTTAAGAGTTGCTTGCAGAAGCTGAGCGTCGGACAGCTAATGAGAATACCATACCAACCGCGAAAAAGCGTCCAAATGAAAGTAACAACCAGACGATCAATGGGTGCCTGGCGGCCAATGGAGGTGACTGGCACCTCCATAGAGCCAATCACGGACAAGTTCCCGTTCATGCTGACATCCGCGACTTCAGTGGCCGGCGCCACGCTGGTCTCCGTAGGAGTTGAGAGAGTGGAAGAGGAACGCTCGCGAAAACTTGACCACAGCTTGGGGAAATACAAGAGAAAAACAGCAGTAGAATGGTGCCACCATTCTCCATGGGGTGTTACCGACCGCCGGGGGAACACTTATAAAATTCAAAACCGTTGAGGATCGAAAAGAGTAAAGACAACTCGGCTTCGGAAAGGGCATGATACACCCAAGGAGCTGCCGAAATTCCAGCTGCTCAATGACTGATCATTTGTGGAGAGGTGTTTCAACAGTGTTTGCACCTTCGTTATTTGTTTTTTTCTAGAAGAAACGGGGATAAGTTCGTTGAGCGCGGAAAGTTCTGAGCCGCAAACTTAGACTGCAAGATGATTTTACATAGCGGCTGACAACAAAATTACTTTTGCTTATATCTTTGTTCCATGGGAAATGGATACGGGAATATTTATCAAAATCGTAGTGAAAATGTGTATCTGGCACTTTGCAAGATTTCAGCGGGTCAGAATATAAGTCAACAAAATAATCTGAATCAAACATGAAAACATTTCAAACGATGCGAATTTTTCGTGCACAAATACTTATTACGGATGCGAGAAGTTTCTAGTCTGTGTTTTAATTAATGTGTTGAACTTTATTAGATGAAAAACACACCAGATCTGTCTGCAGGTCGATCCTTAATCCGTCCACTGAACAACAAGTTAAAAGGTGGGCCAAGAACTGCAGATCACTAGCGGGATTAGCTACTAGTTAGGCCGGATATAACACTAATCGTCCTTGAAACTCAACCACATGATCTCGGATTGACGGGCTTCTGCAGTTGTCACCCCTCAGAGGGACTTTCAAGCATCTAGCGAAAATAATATTCCCCTAAGCTACTTATAGTTTGTTCGTAGTATGAATAGGTGTGGTATTGATTTCGTCGAATCGGTGAAGCCAGTCTATACCGCCAAGCCCGGGAGGGTTTACACCTATTGCATTTCACAAATGTTTAGGAGGGGTCAAACCTGCAAATTTTCGATGATCAAACTATTTATAGGCTGACAATACGTATGCTGACGCCCGCCATGCTGCTCCCACCTCCATGAATTATTGCCATATGATGAAATTACCGTTTTTGCCCCATGTTTAAGCCCTCAGGTTCTCGCTGTGGACAGCGGAGTCGCGTGTTTTGTTGTTTTCGATTTGTGCCCATGTCCACTATTCTTCGTTACGTCCGGAATGTTAACTAGTATCTGACACTCATCAAACGTTCAATCTGTATTCAACCTTGATATAGCACGCCCAACACAACACAACCAATCGAGCTTTGGTGGCGTAGCATACGATCATCATCATTATCATCATCACCATCATCATTGTCATCTTCTGGCTGAAATGCTTATTGTGAAGAGAAGAATATGGGTGGACAGTGAAGGGACTGAGGGCTATCCACTGCAAGCATTCTCAGGTGCCTACATCTACATGCACTCATTGACGTAACCTGGATAAAAATGCCGGTATCATTGGTTACCACCCATGACCTGCATCATACCAAAAAAAGATTTGTTCTCATTGCAAGGGGTGTTGGGTCTCCTAGTGAAAATCGTCATTGTCGAAAGAAAGTGTAGGAAAATTTTCTATGTTCAATCTAGGGTTTCATGTAATTTCGGATGTGCATTCTTAGTCAGTTATTGTTACCACTGACTCAGCACATGGGGCAACTTTGTGGGTTAATTTGTGAAATTTTGGCCACATTTTTGAAAGGGACGCCTATTTCATATGAGAAAGTCTCGTCTCCGGATGGGGATGTATCGCTCGATGAGAATAAGTGCATGGGCATTTGCTGCCTCTGTCCCGAAATATTAACTGAACCATTATACACTACTTACCATATTTAAGTAGATGGATCCGGAAAACGAATAATATATATACTCGTACACGTCACCTTGTTTACACTAGATTATTTCAATATTACGAGATCCACATTGGCGATTGCAAGGAGATAAGTAATCACAATGCTATTTTGGTACGAATTATTTTCGTACGTCACACTTCAAGTATCGCACCTACTGTCGGATTTTTGAGATGCCTTGTTCTAACAGTGGGTAGGCACAATAGAATCTGCTATGGTTTTCCGGAAGAAAGACACTTCCAGGCAGAAATATACCACGGTAATTTTGTCAATAAATGTTGAAGCATGGTTTTGTGGATTGCCATGAATTCGGTTTCCAAGTAAAGCATTACTTCAAGGGATACGGCAGAAAGTTGCACCCGTTACCGCTTTTGGTTCGCTGTGTTTTAAATAATCTGTTGCATTTTATCAGACGAAACCATTCTCTAAATTGGTCTGGTTAGTCGTCCTTTATTTGCCTACTGAACAATCAGAGAAAATTTCGGTGAAAAACTGCTGTTCATTGGTGCGATGCGTTCTAAGTTGGACTGGATATAGCATCTATCACTCTTCGATTAAAGAAAGCAAATCACATGGTCACGTGTTGTCGGGCTCACCATGACATGATCCTGTATCCAGTTGTGGGGCAGTTATTAGAAAAAAATATATTGCAACCTGCCAAAGGATGCAAAAACAGATTACCCGCGAAATCATGCCGACATTTTCTCGGACATTAGATTATCCTTATAATGGCGTGAAAAGATTACTCCGCTTCGCACCGTCTGACGCTATCCTGTGTCCCTGTCGCATACATTGTACATAGGATCTGCAACGGAAACTGTCCCAAAGCTGGGTGAGGTGTAAAATTCGGTGATGACGTGAATTAAAAAGCCTTGCGACTATGGACAAGTTTTTGGTTGGTTACAGGACTTGCTTCAAGCAAAGGCTACATTTATGCTACAACAAAAACCAGCGTAAAGGTCATTTTTGCCTCATTCTGTCATCCGGTTAGAAAAGCCAAGATTGAAACGCTTATCCTTCAACCATACACCAATTTGATATCAATTGATTGGATTTCTTTCTCTGAAGATACTGATTCCCACGCTGAAACGGTATGACACACATGAAGCGAGATTATATAGGATTTTAGTATTGTCATAAATAGACGTGTTCTTCCAAACCCAACAGTAACCTTTTTGTCTCACGTTTCATCTGTTTCAGGACAATACAAGGCTTCATAACCCATTCCATAACACTTTAGCGATCCTGGCCGGCAGAGTGGCTAGGTGTTCGAAGCACCAGCCAGGTTGTTAAGTGCAGGTTTCTTGAGAATCACAGTGCAAGTGAACCTCATTTCGGATAGAACAGATGTACAGATCTTCCCGGCTTCATTCCCCCGAAGAAATATTATTTAACATTAGCTTCTCCTTTTGTCAACTTTAGGAATGTTCTTCATAGTCCTTCACGATTATTGCAAATCGTGAATTTCTGGCTCGCAATCTCACGCGAAGTCTCACATTTTAATGCAATAATGAAAATTCTTACAAAAATCTATGACACTTTGGTAATTTTCCGCATTCTACAAAGCACAAACCCCCGCATCTCGCAAAATCTGTGTCACACTACCGTACGGGTAGTTTCGCAAGATAGCTGTTTGATGTGGCCAAAAAACAACAACTAACCTAATACTTCCTTGGGTCTTCGATCAAAAGCGTTGAACTCATAACCAAAACCAATGCTAAATGACATGTGTAGAGCAACAACGAGGCTGTTAACAAATGCGTTTACGGGTGAGCAACACAGTCTTCTAAGCAGGATGGTGTGGTAGTAAGAGGGAGACGTCGAGAGGACTCTGAACGTCGGTTTGAATCCCCGTCCAGCATACAACAAATACCCCCCACCTCAACATTGAGGGAGCCTATCCCGTTGCAATCACCAATGTGGATGTGAAAACATTTTAAAAAATCAGGGCGAGCTAGATAGATTTTGGGATTGAATATTCAAGTCGATTTCCTTATTCACCTTCTTCAACAGGTAAGCAGTTTATAGTGACCCGGTTGATGTCCCGAAGCGTACGACTTATCATATACACAGAAGAATAACTCCCCGTCCGAAGACAAGGCTGTTGCGAATGTAATTAGAGTTTCTTTCAGAAAGGGGATGAAGATATCTCAACTGAATACCAACAAGCATCCCGGCACCTGGGTGGGCGGTATTCACGACGGACTCCTTAATGCAAACCAGAACATCTACCCGTAACATCAGTTGAAGAGGGCAAAGCAACTGTAGAAAGGTGGGAAAATTGACGGTATTTATTCAAGGCATCAAAATCTCCCAAATCTGTTGCTGCTTGTTGTTCTGAAGGAAAAAAAGAAGATGTGCATTGAGTTGACTTAAGGCTAACTCCAATCATTTTCAGGTGTCTACGCCTTCGAGCATTTATGATGGCAATCTCGATAGAGACTCACAACAAGAACGCCAGTAAGTCCGATTACAAGCCATGTTCTGCAGCATAATCAACTTGAGTTGTTTTCAAAAAAGTCATTGAAATTCTGCGAACGACGTGAGAGGATTTCGTTCTTTGAATGAGTATCGTCATTTTCTAACAACGTTTACATACTTTTTTATGTTCAGTCCAATATTTCTTGACATTTTGGGTCGATCGAGATAACCATTCCCTCAGATGATAGGTTTATTGTGGCGTTCATTGATGCAATTTTGGCCGTCTAACTAGAAGACACCATAATTATCAACAAGACGTCCTTGGATGTGTCGTTTGATGAATTTGATGAGAAATTGTGTTCCCGCTATGCTTGGGAACCAGATATCAAGCAAATCGCTGTGACCAACCCACCATATTTATGAAAATGAATAAGAGGACCATTTGGATATTCAGCCTTTAGCGTCACCTCGTTAAAAATTGGTTATTCAAATATTTTGAGATTCACATCGATGATTGCAACGAGATAAGTTTTCACATTGATAAAAATACTAATTCCCTTGATTTGGCATTGGCCGTGTAGCGAAACTTCTGTTGGAGTTTTGAGCTGCGAAATCCGTCGTGTTCTATTACTTTGGTAGCTGCGTTCGTCGAGAAAAATACACAAAAGTCAAAGCTTAACTTTTTGCCACTGGTATTTTGCCAATAATGACTTGGGTATTGTTCTGAACCAATGTTTTCATGCAAGTTAGGAATCATCTGTAATGCGCACTTCAAAAAAAACAGGAAAATTCTGTCGACAGCGTGCCCGACTAGAGTTACAAAACACTGCAGTGATCAACAATTTGTCAGGCTCACAGCCCCGATCTGAATGTCCAGATTTAAGGCCGAAAATACAGGATGCTCTTTCTGATATTTACTCCTGGTTATTCGCGAAAGGGGCATTTGTTTCTTGTTGGTGGGTTCTGTCCAACACTAATCCGCCGGAGCGCGGACCCCCATGAACCACGCTATTAGACTAGTTCACTGATGAAACTCCGGCAATTTTCCAGGCTTCACAGGACTACACGCGAGTGGATGAACGATTATGGTAATAAACTTTAGATTTGGGCAGCCGGAATTGATGAAGCCAGCATCGATCACAAAACTGATCGGTGCTCCAGTCGTAATCGAGTGAGCCTTAAATCATCGAAGGGATTGCCCAATGATCTGCTTAACTAGCGCTGGTGGTCCGGAGTGTAGTGGAATTCTGGTGCTCTCCTTGACGTGCTCTCTGATAACCACATCTGCAGAAAGTCACAGACACCCACAACGACTAATGTACAGATATGTGAAAGCTGAAAGTGGAAACTCGTTCAAAAAACCTATCTGAAAGCCTAACGGCTAAACTATGCAAAAACACCGAGCTAGAATTTTTGGTAGTCATTCTGTAACACCAGGTTGAGGAGCGGTTACAACTGTTACATATCGCGAATCACCAGGGAAAGTCAACCCTGCAATTTTCGACGACAAATCAGGCCGATGCCCAGGATCATGAATTGCAGAACTAAGCAGCTGTAAATAATTTTCCTAGAAATATTTTGATTGCCGCATACACTTGGATTATTTAACAATGTTCATCGAACCTGCCAATATTAGGCCATATTACGAGTTATTTTGTTTATCTACATTTAGTGAGTGCGGTTATTCTTATAGCCGTGGAATCCACGGTCTTTGGATTGTGTTTTCGAACCTTACAAGAAAACGACCAAACTTCAGTAAACACATGAATTTAAGAGCCACTAATGATCAATATATGCGATCAGAGGGAATAACATATTTAGCCCCAGCAACTACTGTTAACCCCGTGCTCGCCTCCTGTCCTATCCTGGTGTGCCCGATCGTCTCTTTGTACACATCGGTCAGGATTGAAAATTAGTTCTGCATTTAACTAGTGTCTTAAGGTCAAACATTGTTCGCAATTGTATCCTGCCCTGCAGATGAGCAAATAACCGGCAGTCCCCGACCTCTTTGGAGGAACCACATTATTACCGCGGAAGTTGAATGTGTACTATAGCATTTGCAATCCAGAGGTTGGGCTTGACGGACCGATCAGCGACCAGGTGATACAAAAACTGTAGAGTCACCCGAGTTGGCAACGTCTCGACATATTTTCAGTGCTTGGACTGGTCAGTTGAAATTCATTCGGCACGTGTTTGTAAAGGCATTTACCCCCTGTTCCATTTCTCCAAACATATTCAGCTTTCGAAGCAGTATTCACTGAAGATCAACCCTCCAATCCTCACGGCACTAGAGTTGAAGATAATCTACTGAAGTTCAAAGAGGTTAAATAACAGTTTTCATATTAGGAACATAATTATCGCAGAAATAATTCAGCCGCAGCAACTTTATGGTATGCAGGCACCATACTGCCAGAGGGAAGCACAATGGCTGATCAATCGCCGTATTGCACAAGCCTTGACACGATTATCCGAAGTGCGGCGGCTGGATTCGAAACATGGTCTGAAAGCAATATCCTACGAATGAGGTGAAGTTTAGCCTTGTTTTGAAGGTTTCTTTTGCAAGGTGATACATTATTACAAGTTCAAAACCGCACGCATTGTTAATATTTTTCTCATGTTCCCATTGCGTAGAAGGGCATCGCGTATTATCTCCTTCCGCATTGGCACAAGCTTTGATTATAATCTGAGTTTTAACTAATATTTGACACCCACCAAACGGCCGAACACAAACAATGAGGCGTCGGATCATATCATCATCATCATCATCATCATCATCATCATCATCATCATCATCATCAGTCAAATCATCATCCTAATCATGATCGGCGATAGCCTGACATTACTATCAACCACTAATGTTTCGCTGCGATACAATCATCGATTCAGGCAATCTGTGGAAATACTAGCAGCAATTGACAGCCATATCTAATAACGTCTCTAACAGGTGTTAGATTAAATAAACGATTTCTTAAGAAATTGCTAGCTTTGTGAGAGCTTAAAAAGGCCTCGAATAAATAACGTCCATTTCTAATGCCTTACACAAATGTTTTCTATGAGCAAACGAGAGTTCTTGAAATTTGGATGTGCATCTCCAAGTCGGGCGTGGATAGATCACACTCAGAGTTCCTCGAAGTCCAATTCTGTGCATGTGGCCATATTTCAAATGAGCTTCTAATTTTATACTCGGAAGCCATGTGTCTGGACGTGAATGACCCTTTCTCTAAATACGATATGAGCTTGTGTGTTTATTTTGTTGGTTGTGGAAACATCAAGTGAACCACGAAAACAAAATACCACTAGTTAACACTCACTTATCAATGCGCTGGTTACTTTTGACAATGTATACTACCAATTACCTGGCGCCGCCGCACCTGTGTCAACCAGGACACAGGAAAGTCTCGTTGGGTTCACGTGTGGGGAATGTGGCAAGTGCTGCAAACCGAAGGCTGGCTTTAGAGCCCACTATCGAGTTCACGACAAAGAAAGTGTTGGTACGAGCTTGGCTTCCCAATTGGTCTACACTGCGTGATTTACACGCAGATTAGCATAATTCGACATCGCCGGCACGCACACCCCACCCATCATAATGCAGATAAGCTTGGCCGAGTTAAGTATTTCCGTACCCGCTGGACTCACCTGGAATCACAATCGCTGTTCCGCCTGGCTAGTGGCACGCAAACCGCACTTATCACGAGACAAAGGCGGTATTTTCCAGGTCGGTCGGCTATCAGCATCAAAACTAGTTTATGGGTGCTTAAATAGGAAGCACAAAAGGACCAGTCCGCATCTGGTGGACGTGACCAAACCTTCGGTCACAGGCCGGCCTACTGATCAGAATCAGATGACAATAGCGCATATGGCGCCGTGTCACTCTTGGAACCCCATGCTGACAGTTCGCTTGCTAGTGTTGACCACCTGGAATTTGCCCAAATAGTTGAAGTCTGACACCATGATACCATAGCAAATCCTGTCATTTCTGAACCTGCAGGCCTCCAGAACACGTCCACACACCTGGAAACTGTATGCCGGCGTCGTCGTGAGTAAGCAAATGGGATCCCAGTCAAAGGACAGTAGATCCGCCGAGGTAACTACACTGCTTTCCAGAGCGTATACTACAAAAGACGGAAATATGCAGCGTCTGATATACCCGATTAAACATGAAAGGATTATAGAAGGGCAACTGCGGCCTACCTATGGAGGCAGAGCAGTATTGGAAACAGGTGTTTTCAGCAGCAAAACCCGTGGATAGCTGACCAAGTCGCATAGCAGTACCATCCTACTGGAGCATGACCGAGCCAATTTCAGGAGATGAAGTTCGATCCATTTATTGGGCATTCGTCCCCAGGCCTGGATAAACTTACGCCTAGAATGCTCTGCTATTTCAATGCTAACGTGCTCGCTGGGTATTTCAATTTACTTTTATTCTCTTGAGCTTGTCCGTCATATCTGTGACGTGCCCGTATTACCCTAGTTCCGAGGATCCCAAAGCCGACATCACCGACCGATCTGCGCGTCAAATATCCTTGTTCTTGTCTTTCATAAGGTGCTTGCTGACCGCTCGGTTTGTAGTTTACAACTTATGTCAATTGTGTTTGCATTTGTACTTTGAGACGGCTGTTTGTAGGCCAAATCACTGAGGCACGCTTGCTTCGTCAGCGACTCCTTCTAACCTCAGCTTGGTGTTTGTTGTCAAATCTGCTGAGCCTTTTGGAGCACCGCCACATCTAGTCGTTTATATCGCATAGCCCTGTGAGAATGCCGTGGCGGTTTTCCCCATTTTCGAGGTTCACTGCCACAGAGGTGTGGATCCACTCTCCATATTATTGTTCATCATGGGATGGATGGGTTTCTTGGATTGACGATGCCGCAAATAAAATACCAGTTCCATGAAATCCAGGTAGACGCTTTAGCCTTCGCTGAAGAACTAGTTCGTGTGTGCGGAAAAGCAGGCTCACCCGAAATAGAATCCTAAAGCAACTTCGTTCGAATAGGGAAGAGCTGGCATGAAAATGCATGAAAGATACAAGCGATGGTGATTTTTTGGTAGCAGGAAATATCGTGCCACAGTAGTCTCAGTCGAACCATTCGCTTGTCCGTAGACCTCATAACTTCTCTGGGTCATACAGGCACCGTAACATATTTGGGCATCCCCTCTACTTCAAAGGGGAACGTGTCTCCAACCACCGGCAGCACCTTCTCAAACTGCCCGATGAGTTGACGCGTGCCCCTTTGACGCAGAGTCAAAAAATGGAGATCACGAAGATCTGCATCATACCGAAGCTGACACACTCGCTCGTGCCCAGCCAAGTTCACCGGAACACCCTCAAAGTATTGGGCAGCTACATGAGGAAATACATTCGTGGCTGGCAACGTCTATCGAAGGAAACATCGATCAGCTACACCCATACGGGCAAACAGTTTGAGTGCAACAATCCCGATTCAGCGGAGAACGTGTAGGGGAAAGCCCCTTTCAACTCAGTGCTACTACTAATCAGTACTACGCAATGATGTCAAAGACTCCGCATTTGGCAGAATTCTCCAGGATATCAGCCTTTCGATCGGAATCCATGGTGCATGTGTAAACACCAGGCAAGGGCTGACGGCTGCTTGGGGTGACAGTCTGCACAGCAGTTTTGACGGTTGCCTTTTATGAGTGTTGGCGGTTTCGCCTCTTTCTAACCGATGAGTCGTATTTCCAGAACGAGTGCTTCCTCGGTGGTGGTCATGGTGGCTAGGCTATCATATGTCGTGAAAACTGTGGCCAACCGGTGAGTTTGTCGCATATTTTGCAGTCCTGCTGGAAACCACCTGACACCAGATGTGCTCGTCATATTCGGGTTGCAAAGAAACTCGCGAAACGTCCCCGTTGACCGGGCTGCACCGTCTTCACTTTGTTGAAGGCACCTACTTCGACGTCTTTCATCCAACCTGACACATTCGCTGTTCGGGATCGCCGAGCAACTATAATAGACATTCGCGTAGTACCAAATGCGCGCAGAGTGACTGTGTGGAATGAGGAATCGCAAAACTACAGTGTTGATCACTAATACCACGCCATAATCGCAGCTCTGCGTGCGACCGGTTGCCAATTCAACGTTACGGTCCACCAACCGATGATCATCTCTTACCGGGGCATCCGCTTTCCCCAATCCGCCCCGGTTGTTACTGGACCAAGACTTCGTAAGGTGACAGCCAGTGACTTGTACTTGCTTGCAACTGTGGGCCCTCTTCGTACGTACGACACTTTTATGCGTAACAGGTGGGGTTGAGCGTACATTTGGTCTCACACCAAACCCAGTATGACGGAAGTTTTTTGACTTCTTTGCGAGTCCTGATTGTGCTGGCGATTATTGCGACTTCAAAGTAATCGGCATTATTTGTTTGCTCTCTATTTGTTGGCCTTTGGACACGTGTTTCCATACCAACGTTTTACATATGTTGGGATTCATCTCATCTGGCAGGAACTGCTGACGCCACGAATTCGGATGAGACGTTTCAAATATTTCACTTCATACCCTCCTCTTACAGTTTCGCATTAGTCCCTTGCATTCAAATTTTATGTTTGTGACCATGCTGTTCAAAATTAGATGACAATAGTAGTAAATAGATGGATACGGGGATCAGCTTGAATATTCAGTCTTCAACGCCACCAAGATTGCTCCAGAATTATTTCGATATTTTTGGATCCACATTTGTGGTTGCAACGGGATAATTTATCACAATGTCACTCGTGTAATAATTCTTCTCATGTGCCATTGGTCAAGTATCCCAAACCGTGCTGGAGTTCTAAGCTTCAAAAATCGGCTGTAATGTGTCACCATATATATATCCGCGATATATGTGGGTATTTTGCGGCCGATGGAACACACAAGTCTATTCTAAACATGTTGTCATCGTTATTTTTCCAACGAATATATAACCGCGGTTCTGCATCTTTTTATGCCTTGAATCCAGATTTGCAAATCATCGATCGTCCTCCGGGCTCCACTGAAGATGTGCAACTGTTGTCGATTTTGAGCAGTTGTTGTTGAAATTCATTAGGTTGCAACGTGGCAACGCAAGTGAAAATGCTGGACAGAGTTAGGTGACGTCATAAAATTCAGTGATGACTTGTGTTACAAGCCTATGCGACTACGCACACGTATTTGTTTGGTGACGGGGCTTGTTCCATCAGAACTCCATGTTTATGCCATGAGCAAATCATTCCGTGTGAAGGTCATTCTTGCCTCAATCCGTCATCCATTGATAAAACTAATGTTTGGAAAGCTGGTGGCACCAAGGCATTCGAATCAAAAGCCCAAATTCAAGTCAGCGGGGTTTGCGGGTAAGTGCACATGCATTGCCCTCTCTACAGAACCAGGGGCCACAGTTTCCAACCACCATCCTAAAGGACCAGGAGTTTGTGTTCGACAGGCGTGTAGCCATTGGCTGACCTTGTATGAGAGACCCCGTGAGTGTCGCGGGGACACACTCCAGTATACTTCAATGGGTCAATGAGGCGTGCAAGCCCTTTGGTTTTGTTGATTTTCAATTCTGCTGAAGAAGCTGTACAGTGATTCCCGGCCTTTCATTGTAGATTGTTTTTACTGACAGGTGTAAATCTCGCACTAATATGAAACAATAAGCAGGCCAGAAGAAGGATTTCTTCACCTTGTTGAGAAAAATCATTCACTAGAGGCGCCAGTCAACACCTGACCACGGGATGTGGTTTTCCGTTCTTGGCGGACTAGCGGCTCTTCATCTTGTTTTGTTTGAGCTAATCAGATTGATGACCAGCTGCACTGGTCACCAGTTCAGCGGTGGAACTACTAGGCGGACCGTCACGGTTCCTCGTTGAAGCTACCTGGAGTTTCGCGAGACGCTCACTGCTGATAAATTCCAGCAAGCGTGAAACGGCTTCACAGTTTTTCCTGGCTTTTGGGCTTTACTTTCAAGAAGAACTGCCCAACAAGACTTCTTAAGATTTCTCGTGCTGTCAGATATGGTTGACTGCAGCCATCATAAGGATGGTTGTGGAATATGTCCACAGGATAACAATTTATCCAAAGAATTTCTGAAAAGTATAAGAATTCAACAATGAATACCAAAATTGCCTACTCGTGGTTTTTTGGTTTACAAATACCCGAGGATTTTCTGTGTATTTCCATCTAGTGCTCAACTTTGCCTACGGGTTACGCTTATGAATTATTGTAGTTGAATTACTAAACTCGGAAGCCGAAGTCAGAGTCAATAGACACATTTTTGAATCGGTCACCGACCAATCTGGTCATGAACAAACTTGTCCTCAGGCAGCAACTACTCAAGCCACCAATCTTATGTAGGCAATACGGACGACGACGCAGCACAGACGGAAACGGGCGAATGAAGTCCCGATAAGGCTTTGCTCTGTTCAGTCATTTACAGCCGTATAATTTTAGACAGGCATGGGGGACTGCCTATACAACTATTTGCTCATGATGTCATTTCGCTTGGTGAGGAAACATATCCAAGCTGATTACCAATTGCAAAGAACAGGCGATTGTTCTCTTGATCAACGACCGACAGATGAAGCGTTTCCAGATCAGTTTTAGATAAAAATAAATTGCTTCTTGGATGTCCGCGTTCAAAACGTTGTTTCCCCCCCCCCGGCAGCTTATGATAGTGTTCCCCAGTAATTTCTACATTACTCATCTACTTTACTAAACACATTTAACCATGCAAACAAGAGCGCCATTTCGAAAGAGCGAAGTGTAACCGTCCCAATGAAAACATGCTAAATCTAGTTAAAGTGAGAAACAGCTATCTAACAACTTCATATATCCAAAACCCTAGCAACTACTATAACCCGCGATATGTCCGAAAAACCGGTTTTCCATTTCCATATTTATATGGTCATGCGAAAATCAGACAAGTGGATGTTAATTTAGCTACCAGTAATTTTACATTACTCATCTACTTTACTAAACACATTTAACCATGCAAACAAGAGCGCCATTTCGAAAGAGCGAAGTGTAACCGTCCCAATGAAAACATGCTAAATCTAGTTAAAGTGAGAAACAGCTATCTAACAACTTCATATATCCAAAACCCTAGCAACTACTATAACCCGCGATATGTCCGAAAAACCGGTTTTCCATTTCCATATTTATATGGTCATGCGAAAATCAGACAAGTGGATGTTAATTTAGCTACTGATTGCCTCTATTAGCGCGTACAAAACGATATTTGGACCCGCGCTACCAAATAATCTACTCTTCAAAACGACCCTGAGCTTCCAGTTCACTTCCATTGGTCGTGATAACGGTGGGTTTATCCACTACACTGGCCATGTTGAGGTTCACACTATTTCCTTTACAATTGTTACCTTTGGTAACCACGGTTATAGCACACAGATTTTTCTATAGGCGGCTGAATTGCGAACAAACTGAAGAGGCTGAGATGAACAATTTTGTGCCTTGTCATCCGTAACTCTTCATAAAAGAGTATATAGTTACAACTGGCCTATAAATCAACCGACAATGGAACAGAAGCTACGAAGCTCGGACGGTTCTCTCACAACTTTGGTAGGCTTCGTCAAGGTGCTTCCAATGATAAGGTCACGCAGAACTTGTTTTGCTAACGTGACGTTGCTAAACACATATTATTTCGCTGTGGGTCCAATTATGTTACTGAGCAAACCATAACCAAAAAAGCTAGTCGTATACGGTCACTCACGAGACGTAGATGATACGGAGAACGTTACAAAGAAGGCAGCAGCCAAAATCTTCCCGACAGCACAACGTACAGAATTTTATTTCTACAGGATAATGTGTGATTTTGATAGTATGAGGACGTTTTCTTGTTTCTGTAGGAGAAGGCAGTTTATGTTGAAAGCTTGAGAAGCAATGTACAACTGTTCCATCTTCACTGGGAATCATTGGTGATTTGCTTTGTAGTTGCAAAAATTTAACAGTTTGGACGCAGGCAGCCAAACAACGGACTTATCTACCCGCCTACGTCAGGATACAACGTCAATCGTCAAGCATGGGATGCACATCACTGGTTAAAGAGTCCTCGAGTGGCAACTTCTGGAATAAAAAATCAATTCGCGGTATGGATTATTGATCCTCCTGTACTACATGCAGTCTGTTGGGAGAGTGATTACATTCGGAATTTTACGGCGGAAATCTCCATAAACTTTGGTGAAAAATGATTATCTGGAGATACGCCTGAATTACACGAGGGCATTTCATAACTGGACGACCAATTACTGGCCACTGAAAGGGGTGTTGATTCCGTATCCAGTCCGAATTGTCAAAAAATAGCAGTGGACATAGAGTAACATAGCATAATAAAATTATAGATTCTATGGAGAGTTTGAGTACCGTTGGTGTTTTCCACCTTCAAGAATGAGGTTCACCTGACTCTTCCTCTACCTCACTAGAGGCACTAATTGAAGCAGCGACCCAGCGATGTCAGTGGAGTTCGTGCTGTCAGATTATATCCAGATTGTCCCACTGAGTGTCGGAAGTGTAGGAATCTCGGATGCTTTCTCTGGGCTACCCCAAATTTTTTCCTTCCTATTCCTTCCTCCTCTCATTACATATAAGCTGGCGTGATTTCACTATAATGCAGTATCGGTGCATTTTTCTGTTGTTGCTCTCGTTGATGACGATGGCGACTGCGTCATGTTCTTAACATGTTTTTTATGTCAGCACCAAGTCCGTTCCCGTCTATTTTGATTCTTGTCTTTCGAATACGGCTTCAAGTAAATTTTGAATGGACGCAAGGAATGATCCGTGAAGAAAATGGATGTTGACAATGATGATGATGATGATGACTTCCTTGGTGTAGTGAATGGGTATGGTGTCCTGGAGCAGAGGATTGCACAGTGAGTTAGAATTAGCATATGTAATTCCGTCCCACGCTTGTCTAAACTCTAGTGATGGTTTCACGGTTTTGCCTACATTGGATCCATCTTGAAATTGCGTAAGCTTATCTGTCTGCTTCGCATAACTCCCCTTTATCCTTTTCTCTCGCTGGCGCGCACAAAGGCCTAAAACAATTTAGACTAGAGCAACAATACCAGGAGTTAAAAAGTTCACAAAAGATGAAATGTAATCAAATGGTGAGTCATAAAATTTTACGGAGAGTTTTGGTTGGGTCACTTGTTAAAGACCAATCTGTTATGTAAATGAGTGTATTTTTCGGGATGACAGTTGTATTTCGTTTTTTCAAAGTAGGCGGTCAAGTTTGAAAACAGCTCACTAGGGACTTCGGGTTCCATAGAGGAGCTCTGCAAGGAAGCTAGTCCTGGCA